ACATCAGCATCATGTAAAACAGATGAAAGTCCAGGTGAAGTTAATGATTTTAATAATACAAATAATGGTCAAACACATACATATAATGATCAACAATACCAACAAAATGATTGTTCATTATCATCATTAATTCCACCACAACATAAATCTAAACAAACATGTCTAAAAACAAAAGAAATTAGTTGTACAACAGATGATGGTTTTTGGATACAAAAACAATATTATAATGAATTAGATGATACATCAAAAGAATTATTTGATTCATTAATGGATAAATTAGAAAAAATTCGTATAGCCAATGAAGAAAATGCAGCTAAAAAACAACAACATCTTGTTGAAAGAACAAGATCAAATAAATCATCTGTTTTTAATTCAACTATTTCATTATCAACAATAACACAATCAAATGATGAAAAAGATTTAACAATTAAATTAACAGAAGATGAACAAAATAATAAGGTTAAAATTAACATTAAACAATATCTAAAACTTCTTTATTTCTCTATTAAACAGGTTGAAGAATCAACAACCAATAATGATGAAAAAAAAAACCAATGATTTAAGTTCAACTGAAGTTACTGTTGATCAAAAATAAATACTTGTTAAACGTCAGATATACACTGAATCTTTTTTTTGTCTGTGCATCGGTTAATTTTTCTGTTTCTTTATTATGTCTTTTTTGTATTTGATCACTGCTGATAGATCTGTTGAATGTTTCTACTTTGTCTTTTTTTTTTCTTCGAGTCAAAAACATTGAGTAAGAGAAAAAAAACCCGGTGTAACAATCTGAATAGACATTATTTAGAATAATGATTGTTAAACAAGAACTTTAAACATTTTTGTTATTTTATTTTGATCTATCTTCTTTAAAACAAAAATAAAAGAACACTAAAAACGAAATTTTCTTGTCTTGTCATTAGGATGATTTTTATATTTACTTTAAAATTTAGTGCAGCTTTGATGTTGATTGTGTTGTCAAGTACATGTTATAATATTATTTTTTGATAAAAGAAGAGATGATCTGATCATAATATAAATGTTTTTTAAACAAAGTAAATAATATGATGGCATTGATGTATTTCGTCTTTACTTTAGGAAGACAAAACATCATCGTTTAGTGATGGTTAGGACCTGATGGGCTCTAATGCTTCTGCTATAACTACTAACTGTGGTTAATCACTCATATCCACATCTACCCACCGATTGACTTGTTTTGATCCATGCATTACGACGGAAATATGAGGGTTTTCTTCATCCACACCAATACTCACATACTTTCATCAACGAGATCTAGGGATTACAAATAACCTAAAGATTTTCTCTTTTTCCTTCGGCCTATTGCCATTGATTGAGCTGAGACTTCTTCAGCAGCAACAGCTTTTTCCAAAATCAGAGTGAATACATTGTTTATTCAAGGAGAAGTATTGTAGCTTTGGCTCAAGAGAAACAAAATACTGAGAACATACGATGAAAATTCTGATTTTCTCAATGATCTGAATTTATAATACATGCCAGATCTTTGCAATACAATGTTTTTCTGACGAAAAAATAAATTATTCAACCAATTTTGAGATAGGAGCTCTGTAAAATCAAAATCTATACCATCCTTGATTTAGTAAAAACTATGTGTACTTTTTTCAGAGAATATCTTCATTGTGTCATCGTGTCAAACATAAAAGAGCTATGTAAATACATTAAAAAAGTATGCTTATCTTACATAGAATTCGTACACTAAACTAAATTTTTGTACATAACAGGCTATTCAAAAGGTCAACATTCACCTTGACAAGTCGTAAAAATAACATCATAATCGTCTCAATAAAAAAAAATCAATGATGATCGTTCATATATTTTAGCTCGTATACGACTGATTTAGGGTTTTCACAATGTGTATATCATATAACGTAGATAAAATTAAGTTTAGACTATTAGTGGGCTAAAAAGCAAGTTAACTAATATAGATAACTAAATTTTGAACGATATATCTACCTTTTAAATTAAGTTTTTTTGACAATTTGTTTATATTCAATCAATCATCTGACAGCTTCAAGTCAGTTTTATATTCAAAGTTCTTATCAAGTCGAATTGTTGAACATCTGAAATTTTGTTAGTTGGTTATCTACATGAATATGAATTTTATTGGAAATATATCTCTTGTTTTTCTGAAAATCAGTGCTAGAATTAAAAGTTTAAATAGTTTATTTTGAATTCTTGAATATCTAATAATACAATATATTTCCATATCAAACTTGTCTCACTGAGCAATCATGTCCAGTGAAACCTGCATTACATTGGCACAAACCAAATTGAAAATAGCCAGTTAGTACACATCGGCCATGGCATGCACTTGTACAATCATTTACACATTTTGCTTTAGTCTGATTGCCATCAAACTTTGCCCATACGTGCTCGATAAGTCTTGCCTTATCTTCGATAAATGGATCCAATGGAAATCGTTCTTTTGTGAGTAACTCTGTCAGTTTATTTATTCTCATTCGTGTAATCACTGGATTATCGGGGACTGTTTTGAACCATTCGTTCAGTTTATTTACTTTTATCGTATCATTTTCTATTGAATTATCAAATGGTTTACCGCCCGATGTCGATGCATAGACATGTTTGACATAGCTCATGAATTTAGTATGATTTTCTTTACTATGCGACTCGCTTTCCTTTCCTTGAAAGGAAATTATAAAAGAAAAGCCTGCTTCGTTCTCGTTGTTGTAACCCTCTTGGTAGATTTTCTCAATGTCAGAACTATTGATTGTGATCAGTTGTTGAGCCACTCCACCTGAAAATAAGATCGAGAAAGTTTATTAGATATACGAATATATGATTTAATTAAACTACTGATGAGATTTTAACATACAAAAAAGTTCTGATTTTTTGTTAATCTTTTTAAGATTTCTGTATTCGAGATCGCATAAATATTAGATTCAAATAAACTTTTCATGAAAAACAAGACTAGATTGAACATCTATGCATAGATTGCATACATTGATTTCCTTACATTATGCAGTAGAAAATAAATTTTACAATTGAAAATATGATTACCTAGCAAAATCTCATTGAGATAAGTGTATCCAAACTGATCGAAGATTGACTTTCGAATATATAACTCCGTCATTTCACAGTTAACATGACAACAAGGCATGGCGGCAATAGCTGCTCGAAAATCATTGGTCAACTCCAATCGAGGTTCAAAGAGTGTAAGCTTGACAAATGACATTCGAACATATGTATAATACATTGTATAATTGTACTTGTAAATATTGTCGAGCATCCACCTTGTCTCGTCAGATGAGCCAAAGCTGATTGGACCAAAGTTGAAGCCTGAGCTCTCGCTTTTACTATAACTTTCTTTATATTCATAGAACGTACTGATCTTTTCGGTCTTCGCACGTACTTCAGATGCCGGTATACAGATGATCTTTGTTTTGAAGAAATTCAGTAAAAAAAAACAGTCGATATTTAATAGAAGATGATTTATCTTACTTCGACATGTTCAGGCACAAGTTTAGTCAAACAACTACCGATCGATTGTTTGGTGTAGTTCAGTTGAAAGATAGGAGCACCAAATCCACTCATTACACAATCACCTGAATAGCATACTGGGTTTCCGTGTGATGGCTTGTAACCAAGAGCAATCTTATTACTGTTTGGCAACCAATTAGGTTTCACTTCATTGTTTTTGAGAGTAATAGAAATGGTGGCCATCGGCGACACCAGAAAGAATAAACACAGGAGAGCAATTTTGAACTTCATAAGACTGAAAAAAGACTCTTTGAATCACGAAAATATAAAGAAGAAATACGATGCAGTATTTTATCGTTTCCAACTTCAAATATTTACCAATAGTATTTTTATTACTTCATATCTTTTGTTGATGTTATAAATATTTGTTTCATATGTACGTTGGAAGTTTGATAACGATTGCGAATTCATCAAGATTTGCACTTATTGAATCCTTGCTGCTTAATTTAGCCAATCCTTACTTTAAATATTTGTTTGGAAAGATTAGTATAAATCAGATAAGATTTATACTTATTCAACCCTGCGCAATTAATGTTATCAGACGGAAGTACTGCTACTATAAATATAGTTGAAAACTTTTCTTCATCGTATAAACTCTACAATCAACCATGAAATCTCTCTTACTACTAATCATATTGTTTGAAAGCACGCTACATGCGTTTCGAATCGTGGGTGATTCAGAATGGGAAGAATTACAACATTGGGCTGTTTATGAAAGTGTCGGCCGATACCTCGCTATGCCACAGGCTAAGGAAATTGATGATATCAATTGGCTGCCCAATTCAAACAAAATTGGATATGGATACAATCCTGTAAGAAATGTCATTTGAAAAAGATTCGAATATTTTGTTAATGTTAACAGATACGAGGTGATCCTGTCTGCTATACGGGTGATTGCCACATGAGTGGATTCGGTCGAAGCATCTTCCAGTTGGACTACACAAATCCACCGCAAGGCTCTTGCACGACAAAATTGATTCCAAAAAATGTCGAAGTGAGTATTTTAGTGGATAGTATATTAGATGCAAAATCGTTTGAAATTTTCTATCGACCAACATCTTTCATTTTTAAGGAGTTAACATTTTTTTTTATCATCATGAGCAGATTCTGAGATATTTCTAAACGATGCACTCATTAATTTTGTGTCATCTTTTCATTAATTTGTAGCTTGATTGTATTCCATCCACAGAAGTACGCGAGAAAACTCAGAAAATTTCCAATCTCATAGAGTTGAAAGAGAGTATGGCACAAGGATACAGCTGGAGTATTGGTGGTGAAATCAGTTTGACAAATCCAAAGATCCCGCCTATAATTTCACTTGCCTTCGGCTATGGTCAATCCCAACAGACTACATTCATGATGAATAACATCTATCGGGATGAGTCGATTGTGTATCATACCTATGCTAGGGTGTCTACCGTGAAACTGTCGTTATTTGAACCAAAACTTGAGCTATCCGATAATTTCCGTTATGTCATACAAAATCTTCCAGCAACTGGCACATACACATCAGCTGTGAAGAAATACATTCAGGACTACATCATCAGTTATTTTGGCTTTACGTATATCACTGAATTGTTGCTTGGTATGTGAATATTTGCATTTATCTTTTTGTCTAAACAGATAATTTTTAAGGTGGGATTGCTCAAATGACAACTGTGATAAACCAATCATCTATTGTTCCATTACAACAGGAAGGCATAAGTGCTACAGAAATGGTTCAATTGTCGTTTAGCAAAATATTTAATTTCAACTACAACGAAAATGAAATGAAGAACTTGAGCAAATTTGAAACATTTCAACGCTATGTTAAATCATCGATGGCAACCACTATTGGTGAGTTTATACATTTCGTATAGGGTAGTG